CGCCTGTCACGGTTTTTCATCTCAAGACCTACAAAAGCTGCAGGGCTGAAACTTTGGGAACTTAATCTACATGGACGTACGGGCCCCAATCCTCAGAATGGGCGCTCTTACCCGCGTGACACCCAAGTACGGGCCCCTGAAAGTTTTTAGCGGGTAAGTCGCTAACTCGAGAACCAGAAAAGCTAGAAGGCTGTAATTTCACGACGATATTCCCCGTCCACCTAAATCTCATTTTACTTAAAGTCAACCCCCTAGTATGCGTGGTACTCACGTGCGGCCCCGCCAAATTTTTTTTTTTTGGATAAGTTGATGGCTTATAAACCTGAGAAATTAGAAGACTGGAATTTTAAGGAGATGTCCTCCATCCACGTAGTTATTAATGAGTTCAGACCTAGCCCCCGAATATGAGTCATTCCCACGTATGGGTCCGTGAAAGATTTTTTCGTGTAAGTTGCTAAGTTGGGAATATGAGAAGCAAGAAAACTGGAATTTTGAAGAGATGTTTCCTGACAGTCCTGATGGCCATTCTGAAATTCTTTTAGCTAGAAGCATCTACCAGAAAAAACAGTGCCGTTAGCGGCAAAAATCTGCGGGGAACTATGCAAAAAATGCATCTTCACACGGGCAGCCCGTGCATTGGCCAATTATTTGTTTCTCTTACGATTTTAGGGCGAACTAAGTTGCAGGTGTTGGAGCGTTTGCAGCATTAATTGGCCCGCATGCTGTGCTTCACTTCGATAAAGGGCTTCGTGCAATACATGTTGATGACCGATGGGATTTCTATAAACCAAATCAGCCCACCGTTTCGGAATATCCAGTTGTTGACGGACCAGTGAGCTTGGAGTCCTATATAAATTGCGCTGAGCACGTTTACGATTTATATTGCAAAAAAGCTAAGAAGCTGAAATACGGAGGTTGCTCGTCGTTTTCGATCATTTGGCATGGATTATTAGTTTGAAATCTTGAGATTCCTAAAAGGACCATATGTTTTTAGTACTTTGATATTTCTCAAAACTTGTCCATAGATGGTTTTATGCGTTTTTGCTGTGCATCGCAAGACTGACGAACACACACATGCACAAAAATATACACCCTGTCTGTGTGCATATTTTTGTGCATGTGTGTATGTGTGTTCGTCAGTCTGAGTGTTTCTACTCAGCAACCATGGAAGCATCATGCTGGAATTTTATCAGCGTGTTTTCTGGCCAAATGCGACCTCAGGGACGTGGTAGCAACTGTCTCACAAGCCTACTTCTCAAGGGCAAGTGGTAATTTAAGCGGGAAAATTACTAATTCGGGAATGAGAAAAGCTAGGAAGCTGAAATCTTAAAAGTTTGTTCCCTGTCCAAGTATAACGTGAAGTTTCCACTCTCAATACGCATTTATGCGTTGTTCTCACGTACGGGCACTAAAACGTTTTGGCGAGAAAATTGCTCACTGAACAACTAGGTCATTTTCAAAAAACGACCGTGAAACGGGATTTGTTCATTTCCTATATGCAAAATTTACGGTGATTTAAGTTAGTAAGCGCAAAAGACTGATGTCAAACAACAATCATTCATACATTTAGCGACCTGTTTGTTTCAAGTTTAGTGTAAAGACGTATGATCGCACCATCAAGCTTGGTCCTTTCTGTCCTAAGGTTTTCATGCAAACATGGCT